CGGCCCGGCGCCAGCCTCGGCACCGGCTGCTTCCCGCCGCTGCCCTCGGAGCCCGAGCGGCTGCGCGGCGCCGCGGGGCCCAGGGGCTCGGCGGGCTCCAGCTCCTCGCAGCGCCCCTCGCTCTCGGCCTCTCCCTCGCGGAGCAGGCGCCGGTACTCGCTCTCCTCCAGCTTGTAGACCACGGGCCGCACGGTGCGGCGCCCGGYGCGCGCGGGGCCCAGCTCGATCTCGTACACGCGGGGGGCTCCGCGCGCCGGCCGCAGCTCCCACTCGGCCTCGGGGAGCCTCCCTCCCTCCATCCAGCACCCCGGGCCCTCCCGATCCCTGTCTAGCCACGCGGGATCCTCCGCGGGGGCTCCGTGGGCAGCAGGGCGCTCTGCCCCGTCACCCCCGTCATCCGGCACGAATCCATAGCACTGCCAGGGAGAGGCTTCCATGGCCGGCAGCTCCGTGCCCTCGATCCCCGGCCCGCAAGCGTTGGCACCGGCCGGCCAAGGTTTCTCCGCACCCCGGCCGGTGTCGGCCGCCCGGCACCGCCTTCGGGTGCCGTGGATGTGGCCGGCGCTTCCCGGCTCCGCTAGGCGCCCTGCTCCGGGGCGGCATCGCCCCGGGCGCCCAGTGCGCGCATCCCCGCTCCGGGCACCCCGGCGCGCTCCCGCCTTCGCTCCCGCCTTCCCCCAACCTGTCGCGGCAGCAATTCCCTACGGATCTCTGCAGCGAAGCCCTAGGTTCCCTTTGGAGCGGCTCCTCCGTGCGCCGCTCCGGGCGGTTCGCAGGGAGCCTCCACGCTCGTCCGCAGCCCTGGCGCGTTTCCCTGCCCGGCACCGGCAGCCCGGCCGGCCCCGCGCTGCCTCCCAAACACTCCTTCCTTGGAAGCAGCGGCGCCGCTGACGGCGGCCTTGGGCCCGGGCCCGGAGGAGCCGGGAACGATACTGTATACACAAAGTATTTAGGGCAGAGACAGATTGGCTGGAATTATCTACAGGAATATGTTATTGTTAAGCGAATTACTGTGACACAAGAAGTATTCCCGAGATAAACAGAGAAGCCCAACGGCAGCCTCGGGAAGCAGCTTCCCTCCAGAGGCTCCGCAACGTCAATTACCAAAACCCGCCTCGCTGCGCTGGGCATTTCTCTAAACAAGCGCTGCTCCCTGCGGATCACGCCGGTGACGGATCCCTGCGGATCACGCGGAGGCTCCCGCGGTGCTTCCCTTTTATGGTGCACGGGGTGCCCAGTTGCGACGTACCGGGATGCACGGCATGCACCAGAGCACCTGGACAGCCCCCCTCTCCTGCGGGTCYCGCTGCCGGGCCCGGCCCCACCGTCCTCATCCCGGACGGAGCCTGCGGCTGCTGGGAGCGACGCGGAGGCACCCGGGGCGGCTGCAGCTCCCCGGGAGCTGCCCCTGCATCCCGGTGCATCCAGCCCTAGGGACGAGCCGCAGCCGCCGGCCAGGGCAGCAGAGCAACAGCAGTGTTTCCAGGGGGGTTAACGAGTCTGGGAGGCAATTAGCAACTGCCAGGGCTGGGAGCATCCCCAGCTCCGCTGGCTGCTCCGCCAGGAAAACCCTGTCCCGGAGGCCGCTCCGGCGGCTCCGCTCCGCTTGCCTTTAAAGGCAAAAGCCGGGAGGGCCCCGCACGGCGGCCGCGGATGCAGCGGCGGCCGGACCCGGCTCCCGCTCGCTCCTCGCAGCACCAGCCCGGGCTCAGCCCCTTCCCGGCCTCCCGAAACGCCGCACAGCTCATCTGTAAAAGGGGRAAAAAAAAGTTTATTTTCCTCACAAGAAGCACGTAAAATATACAGTACATTTTTACAAACAAAAGTAAAAAAAAAAAAAGTGCATTATGCATCCCCTACCGCAAACGTACAGTACAAAAAGATACTGCATATTTAAATATAAAACCGGAATTAAGAAATACAATGAAATAAAAAGTAACATTGTTATCACAGAGTACAGCAATGCATGGAAACAGCTACGAGTTGCTCTCCCGCCCGCGCATCCCTGCGATTGCGGGAGCGCCACGGGCCGGAGCGACTCCGGGAGCGCCGCGGGACGGGCGCCYGGCGCGACGGCCACCGCTCCCACGCACCCCCCCAGAGCTCCCGCTGCACATAAGGTGCGGGTTTGTGCATCCCAGGCGTTATCCCGGGATGCGGCTTGGAGCGGTGCTGGGAATGCAGAGCGGCGCCGGCGCTGCAGCCGGAGCGCGAGGGCAGCGAGCGCAGCGGCCGGAAAACACCAAAAGCACCAAGAAATGAACAGCAAACAGCAGAGTCCAACAGCTCGGCAAAAATACACAGTATTTGTAAACTATTCGTAAGGCACTCCATTGTAAAAGAACACGTACGATACACGGGAGGGGAAACACATCTACCTTCTCATGCAACAAACCCAGGGGAGCTGCAAGCGCCACGCGCTGGCTGCGAAGCCCGGGCCGGCGCCGGGGGTGCTGAATCCCGGGCAGCTCCACATGGCACAAGCGACTCCGGAATCAGGGAGCGAGCCGTGGCACTGCCTGCACCACGCAACTCCCGGGAATGCCGTTTTCCTGGGCTCGGGAAGCGGGAGCCGCCAGCCCGTCCCTGCTGGCTGCTCGGCAGCAGGAGCAGCTGCCCCGCGCCGGGACGCCGGGAAAACGGAGGATGATGCAAGAGGAAAGAGYGGCCTCCCGGTCCGGCTGCAGTGGTCCGAGCGGGGCCACGCGCAGTGGGGACATCGCGGGGCCGTCCCTGGGTACGGGGCACCGAGCGGCTGCTCTTGCCCTTTCAAGCTTCCTCCCGGGCACCTCCTGCCTCTTTCTGCCTCCTCTGAACAAGAAACAAGCGTAGGAAAAGCCACACGGATCCGGGAGTTACTGGAGTAGCCCCGGGCCTGGCAGCGCGCTCCGGCTCTGGGGTTAGCGCGGGCAGCTCCGCCGGCGGGACACGCAGCGGGAACGGCCGCTTCCCGCGCYGCAGCGCGCAGGGAGACCCGCGGGAGCAGCGGGAACGGCCGTGCCGAGCAGCCCGGAGGATACCCAGCCGCTCAGAGCATCCCAGAGGACACCCCAGCTCCCGCGGGTGCCACGTGGGCACGGGCCGGCTCCAGGGCAGCCCAGCACCTCCACCCGGGGCGGAACGCGGCCCTCCGGCTCACCCCGGCAGCCCGCGGGGGCCGGGCCCGGCCCAAGGAGCCGGGGCAGCTCCCGAGCGCCGGCCCGAGCAGCAAGTCGTTATCACTGTCCTTATCCAGCTTCGAAAGCGCCCGGGCGGCTGCCGCTCGCAGGCGAGGGAGCAGGAGCTGCAGGGCAGCTGCACGCCGGCAGCGGCGCCCGCAGCGCCCGCGCAGCCCCGGGCACCCCGGCTGCTCCCGCGGGACACGCGCGGAGCGGGATTTGGGCCAGCGCAGCAGCCGGCACTGACCCGCACGAGCGCGGGAGCAGCTTCCCGGGCTGCAGCGCCCCTTCTACCAACCGATCCCAGTAATGGGAGCGAGTTCCGGTTCTCCAACGCGGAATCCACGCGCCCCCAACACGGCGCCAAGGGGCTCCCCGGGGCCGCACTCGCGCCCTGGCCGGCCTTGCCATCCCTGCCGCCACCACGGGGACGTCACAAACACAACACAAGAACCCCCAGCGAGCAGGACACCGGCCGCCTCCACGCAGCTTGCGCCAGGGCACGGGCCGGGAGCCCTCCTGTCACCCACTGGAGGCTGCGACACCTAACGTGGCTCCACAGCAAAGGGCTGAGAGCCACGGAGCACCGGCAGCACCAACACGGCCCCACGCGCCTCTCCCCGACTGCACAGCCGCTTAGTCAGTGCGGAAACACCCGTCTCCACATCCCTTCGGGTCCTCACAGCTAGGAGCAAGGCAACACCTTCAAAACACGGGCCGTATCATGGGAAAACCCTTGGAAAAGGAAGCAAACCAAGAGCAGAAGTCGGCAAAGCAGAGGTAGTGTTCATGTCACCATTTTAAGGATTTTTCCACAAGCGCCTGCTGTAACTCCAGGCTTGTGTTTGCTTTGTGTAAAAAAGAAAAAAAAAAGTATCAAAAAAAAGGTCACGACTAGTTATTTTGCTGAGAGTTTCGGGGTATTTCAGCATTTTATATAGATAGATAAACAGATATCTATCTGTCTGTGCGCACACACAAAACCACATTATTATGCTTGGCAAACAGTACGAGGAGTAGCGTCCTGCAGGACGACAGGCAGCTCACACACAGTCCTCTTCCCAGCCATGCAACACATTTTATTTTCCCTTGTGCCCTTCACCACGAGCCATCACRTTTCTCTCTCTCCCTGCTCAGGATACAAAGAGGGGAGGAAGAGGCGGCGCCAGACAAACCCCGGCCAGTCCGGTGACAAAACTGCACTGGTGCAATGAAGAAATGCCTTAAAAAAAAAGAAGAGAAAAGGAAAAAAAATCCGCACCACCCTCCTCCCCCCGGGGACAGCATCAACTTTTGCCCATCCAGAGCAGGTTCTTCAAGGTGCCCACGGCCGCCGTGGCGAGCAGCGCGGGGCCGACGTGGGCGCCGTCGCACAGCACCGCCGACTCGCTCGAGGCGGCCTCCTTGGAGTCCGTCACGGTGGAGGCGTCCGCGTCGCTCGACAGGTCCTCGGAGGACAGGTTAAGGCAGCCCAGCTTGGCGAGGGAATGGGACCTCTTCAGCGGGGAGGACACGGTGAGGCCGGCGAGGCGCAGGCGCGTCTCGATCTCCTGCGTGCGCTGCTTCACGAGGCCCGGCTTGCCCCGCACGCTGTGGATGCTGTCGCTGCTGGAGCTGCGCGTCAGGTTGGAGCTGCGCGACGACGACGGCGTGTAGCAGATGGTCTTGAGGAAGTCCTTGGTGAAGCTGCTCAGGTGCTCCATGCGGCACGCGGCCGGCGTGGAGGTTTTGGGGGCCGTGCCCTCCGCGATGCGCCTGCCCTCCACCCGCTCCTCCTCGACCTCCGCGTCCTCGGGGATGAGCGGCACGGGCGCCAGCAGCGGCACCAGGGCGCCGGGCGGGCCCAGCTCCGCGCTCTCCTCGGCGATGCCGGAGTCGGCCCTGCTCGCCGCCGCCTCCGGCGCGATGCTCTTCAGCCGCTCCAGCTCCTTGGTGTGCTTCCTAACCAAGCCGGCCTTCTGCAGCTGGATGAGAGACTCCTGATGCTGCATCAAGTAACTGTTTGCACTTGGCTTCTCCAGCTCCTTACTGAACAACAGGTACTTCAGGTCCTTCGTGGGTTTGCTGTCCCTCCTGCCTGGAGGCTCGTCCTTCATTGCCTCAGTGACAGCGGGGCTCCTGTCACAGTGCGAGTTGCTCCTGGCCAGCAGAGTTTTGACAGGGGTTTTGGGGGCATCTTTTCCTTTCTCCAAGACACTGCAGTGTGGATCAGCCACTGCTCTGCAAGCGGCGGCCTCCAGAGCGCCCATTCCCGCTGGCAYCCCGTTGTTTTGAGTCCTGCTGCCCTCCTTGGCGGGCAGGGGCTGCGGCAGGGCGGGCGGCGCGGGGGGCAGCAGCGGGGGCTGCGTGCAGACGGCGGCGCCGCGCCGCGCCGGGCTCCGCTTCTCGCACGGCTCCCCGAGCGACTCGGGGGGCAGCCCGGCCGACGAGTACATGCAGGCAGCGCAGGGGTCGTAGGAGGGCTTCACCTTACTGAGGATCCCAAACACGGCGTCGTGCTGCAAGACAGAAAACAGGGGCACGTGAACGCGCACGGGACGACACGCCGGCAAGCGGCAGAGCCGGGGGCACGCAGGAGATATTCACAGCCGAGACCTTTCCAGCTCTGCTWAGGCCCTGCAGCGGGAACAGAAACCAAACCACACACTTTCCCAGCAGACAGTAACTTCACYGGAGGAACACCTACCATTTGAGGTGACGGTCATGCAAGCGAGCTGCCAAAGCGGGTTACAGTGCACTCRCATGCGTGCGCTCTCTCTCTGGCATCTAAATCCACAGCCTGGGCAAGCAAAGCCCCGTTCAGAAGCACTTCGAAAAGGAAGCAGCTCCTCATGGAATGAAAGGGTTTATCCAAGTCAAATGAAACTGGGCTATGAAGATGAGAAGAGCAGTTTCACTTGCAGCAGTCAGCCATGCTAGTCACCCAAATTCAACTCCATACGCACCTCAAAATCCTCCGGGCAACTCCTTTTGCTGTTGTTGTTATTCAAGTTCTCCCTATTAAGCCTGCTCTCCTCCTTGTGCACGGACAAGCGACGCTTCCACTTCTCCATCGGATGCTCCTCCCTGACCCCATCCTCGCCCGGGTCCCTGGGGCCGGGCACTCCCCTTCCCTTCCGAGGGCTGAATTCCAGTTTCTTCCTCACTTCCTTCTCGCAGAAGCCGCTCAGCTCCGTCGCAGGCTCCGCCGTCTCGAGCGCTTTGGCCGTCTCCCTCCCGTCAGCAGATGCAGAGAGAGGCTGTCCCGCCAGCGAGTCCGTTCGCTCCGCATCCCGCTCCAGCTCCTCCACCTGGAAAAACCCCTCCCTGTCTCCGGGCATCTTGTTCTCCAGGAGAGTATCGGAGAGGCGCCGGAAGCAGTACGGGAAGGCCAGGGGCAGCTCCGCGCTGCCGCGGTTGTCCAGGAAGGCCGGCTGCGAGGGGGTGTCCAGCTCGGCCAGGCGGTTCTCCAGGTCCATGTCCAAGCTCTCGAGCAGGATGTCGCCCGGCACGGCGCTGCCGTCCGCGCTCGGCGGCAGGTTGCTCTCCGCCTGCTGCTTCCACAGCTTGTTGTGCCGCTGCTTGCTGGGGGAAGGAGAGGACACGTGTGACTGGAGGCCAGAGGACAGTGCGCAGGGCCTGAAAATCACAGCCCCAAATCTAAACGCTTGCTGCTGCAGTCCTGTGTGGGCACCAATCTCCTGAGCATCGGGATTTTGTCCATCACACCCATCTGCTCGAGTCCCTTTGGCCCTGCAGCCCTCAGCAGCGCCCTGCCCTGAGCACCCGCTGGGAACAACCCTGGGGGCAGCGCGTCCCGGAGCTCCCTGCCAGGCCGAGGCGCTGAACCAGCAGCTCGGCCTGTCTCGTGGCACCGCTCCTGCTGACCCACAGGGAGAAATGTTTGTTTTCTCCTTCCACTCGAGCAAAGGCCAAGTCGAGCATGCACAAACCCTGATCAGATACCGCAGCCCTGGCGGCGACGCGGAGCCCGACTGGCAGGGCAGCCAGCGCCGCGGGCAGCTCGCCGCCAGCTCTGCCCAGCACTTCTGCCTCGCAGCACAAGAACAATGCGGTGCCGAGCGGCACTGGCCGCTGACAAACACCGACACGCTTCCCAAACGCAAAGAAACCCTCACCGAATTAAACCCGAGCCGCTCGCCCTGCAAGACGGCTAATTGCCACGCAGGGAGGCCTGGCATAGGCAGGGCTTGGAAAACCAGGGTTAGCCCAAGGCTCTGCCCTTTGCAGCAGGGTCTGTCCTGCAAGCCTCGCTCCCCAGGCTCCTCGTGCACGCTCTGTGGGTTTCCTCAACAGAAACCCGCAGAACTCGACTATCATTCTGTGTTCATCAAATCACAGGAGTCGCTAATTAGCTCCTTGTATTTCCTGCAAGTTGCCCTGCCAGTGGCTTCACCGCTCACCTTGCATCTAAAATGCCTTCATACTCCAAGAGCTGCCTCATGAAGCCCGCGTTCGGCCTGGCGATGCTGCGCTTCTGCTTCACGTAGTTATAGGCTTTCTCGAGGGACCAGCCGAACTCCTTCATCGCGTACGCTATAACGGTGGATGCCGAGCGGCTCACGCCCATTTTGCAGTGCACCAGGCACTTGGAGTGATTCTTCCTGCAGAAGGGGAGAAGAGGAAACTCCCTTACATCTTTCTGGTTATTAGAGTTGTCCTTATGGTTTTAAATGACAGGTGGGGGGTCCTTTGGTCCTCCTGACCTTACTCGCACCCCAAGTCAAGAGCTGGCAAATGCTCTGGACGCAGCAAGCCATGAAAAACCTCTGCAGAGGAGTCTGAAGCTGGGGAAGGGCACCCGCAATCCCTGCCAGTGCAGAGGCCACCACGAAGCCTCCAGCCTGTGGTTTGGGCTCCAGGGATAAGCGGGGACAGCAACGCAGCGGTCGGCTGGGCTCTGTCACCACCGCTGCCTGCGCTGGCCTAATACGGACACAAGCTGGAGCAGTGACAGCGTTTCTGGAGAGGAGGAAGTGTTCTCTGTTCTCCTTTCCTCCTGCGAGCTAAACGAGAAAACTAAGAAAAGAAAAGCACCGGCCAGCAATGGGTTAATCCCTGAGCAGTGCAGGAACACACCAAGTGTATGGAGCTCGCAGGGATGTTGGAAACTCCTGGGAAAAGCTGGATGCAACCCGGCGGCTGCCACCTTCAGCTGCGCTGCTGGGGTGTCCCAGTCTTCTCTGCACCCAGACCTCGAGCGGTTCCCGAGGCAGGCGCAAATCCAGGCCCTGCCTAAGTCAGTCTCCCTGCCCACTTACTTGGCCTTGTTTATGAAGTGATACGCCTCGTTCCAGTGAGCCAGGAGGTCCGTGGTCTCCTCATCGTACACTCGGATGTTATGATAGGCGAATAATCCAGGGAAAAAATTATCTATCTCCCTGGTCACGTTTAAAATGTAGTCGATGCTGCAGAGAAGGAGAAGAGAAGCAGAACTGAACCGAGGTGGCCACAAAAGGGGAACTTGTGTTGCAGGAACTCGGACACAGCAGCTGCAGCCAGGTTGTGTGAACAGCCCCAAACCCGACCCCCTGGGACAGCTGGTGACAAGCCACACACGGACCTGCAGGGCTGGTCCATTCACCCAGCTCCCAGCACTGCCATGCTGAGACTTTGCCCCAAATTGCAAAGGCCACAAGGGATTCGTTTGGGCAAAACCCGGGAACAGAAGCCAGGAAGTCACAATTTTCAAACACAGGCTTTTGCTGCAAAACCATCCTTTTCTTTCCAAAGAAAATTACGAAGTGAGAGTCGCATGATATCTCTCAACTCCTGCCAAATATTACAGCAGGGTTTAGAGCATATCAGGAGAGAATGAATGCCCATATTGATTTATTCTTATCATTCAGACAAATCAAGGACACAGGATATTTATTTCAGAATTTGTCCAGCTCTGACTTTTAGAAACTGCATTTCAAGATGCTCTCACTGCAGGATGAAAGCATTAATGGGCTGCCTGATTTACTTGTTCAAAGGTGCTCAGACAGCTATTCCCAAGGACTCCAAATTAAACATTTTTAGTCAGGCTATTAAGCAATACTTTTCAGTTTCTCACATTGAAGTTTGTGGACGCCTTGGGCAGGCAGCTAATATTTATATACAAAATTTTCCCTTGTGCATAACAAAGCTTCTCGTTTGTAACCTCCACCCTACATGTGGAAGAAACAAGGTAAAAAAGATTTCTTGACCCAGGTCCCAGTGGCACCTTGGTGGCAACCGGCCCCAGACTTGGCCCTGCAGCCTATGAACATGCCACGCCATCTCCAGAGACCTGACTGCAAGTTAAAGGCAAATGACTCCAGGCTTCCAAGAGCCCGAGGACAGTGTTGGAAAGACTCACCCGGAGCCCTGCAGCTCCTCGAGGTTGGAGGCGTTCCACTCGGAGCCCTGCAAGGGTGGCACAGAGAGACACAAGAAACACGTTTCAGAAGAGCCGAGATGCTGCTGCCCCCGTCAGCAGGGCTGAATCCACCGGGACTCGCTGCCCAGGAACATTAGGATTTTTAACCAGGGATTAAATAGAGAAGGGAAGCAAAGTGCTGAGCATGGTTGGGATCACTGGTGTACGAGAAACAAGGCAAATTCTGGACGTTACGAGGAAATTACACTTTGGATCCTATCTGTCCCTGCAGAACAGGGCAAAAAGGGTATATAAACTAAGCTTTGTCCCCAAGTATCAGCATTTCCTATCTAGCTCTCAAGACAAAAATATGACCCAGGCATAAAGGGCACAAACATGTCCATCTCAAACGAGTCTTTGTTCCCCATGTCAGTGCCTGGTTTTGCTTGGAGTACCATCTAGTGGCAAAAGGCTACAAGAAACACACACACACACACACACACACACACACACACACACACACCTTGGCTTCTGCATGAGCTTGAAGAGCTCGGGCCTTATCCTTCATACAGCCTTGACCATGCCTAAGGAGCTGACGGGCACAATCAAGAAAAGATTATAGTGATGCTAGTCAGGCAAAGGGCACATAGTTGTCACACCAGAGCAGCGTCCAGAGCCAGACCCTTTCTCCACCTTAAAACAAAATCTCCATTCCCAGAAATGCAAAACAAGCATACCAAGAACTTGAGCTATGCTATGGTATGTCCTCAAGCAGGGTGAATCTGCCAGAAAAGAACTCCAAAAGGGTCATAAACAAGAGCTTTTTAGAAAAAGAAAGGCTTCTGTACTGCAGGCTTTCACAAGCAGCACGGGCCCTGGGGCAAACGCTGCACAAAGGGCGAGATAACAGGCGAGTTCATGCTGCACAGCTCAGCCTTGACACCAAAGCCAGCTTCTCTCGAGCCCAGTGACCGGCCAGATCACTCCCCCCGAGGAGCTCCCGACCCTGCAGCTTACCAGATATAAATGATCGAAGATCAGAGACGGTTTGTCCATCTGACCCAGGATAAGCAGCATCTCATTGTCTATAAATTCCTTGAATTCTTTCAAGTTGCAATTCATGTGTTTCTCCAGCTCGTTTCGGATCTGTAGAGCAGAAAAGAAAGGATGCCACCTAGAATCATTTCTGTTCAGCAGAAATGCTTGCTGGCAGCCCCTCTGCCCAGCGAGGCTCCGGCAGGGACTCTGGACTTCATTAAGGAGAGCAAGAAGGATCTGCCCTTTGGGCAACCTCACTACCTGGCACCTCTCCAGTGTCTTAGGTCTTCAGATTTAACACCTCTAAATAAAGCTTCAGGCAGCACCTCAATATCCCCATTCTGGGGTACCTGCTTCTTAAAAATAATTGAAGAGGCAATAAGTCAGGCCTTGGAGAGCAGCTAACATACAAATGTGAAACCCATTAGCAGCAAGAAGTGAATAATAGTGGCGAGTGAAAGGGGAATCAGGAGATTTCCAGTATTTCTCCTTTCTGAAATGTCAGGACACAGATACACGCTTCTCTTGCTGCAGTGAAGATGTTCTCAGCTCATGCTTCAAATCTGTAAAGCTGCTCTACACAAGCACATATCCAAACCTTTCAGTTCTAAGCTTTCGAAAGCGCTGCATTTTAATAGCCTTCCTTGAAAAATAACCAAAAACCATAAACCAAAAAGCCCCATTACCATTTGCCCTGCAAATGTTTGCACTGTGGCCAGATGTATTTGCATCACCCCAGGGAACTGATCCAATTTGTTCCCTTGACCTGCGATTCTCCATCCACGGCGTCACTAGCCAGATCTTGCCTGCATGCCACTGACAACACAACCTGAACGCTGAAGCCAACAGGGAGAAAGGAAGATGCTGTTTGCCCACATGGGCCCCAACCAGCTGTAATTCATGCAGGTAGCATCTCTACTGCCACTCGACTTGCAAGGAAAAGGGCATTGCATTCAGAGTGAAATGCTTGTTACTAAGGACTTGAAATATTTACTCTGATGTTGCCATTACCCTGATTTTCCTGGTGGAGACACAGATGTGTAGCTAAGCCTTTAAGGAAAAGCTGGGAATATATATCAAAAGCCAGTGACACCTAGTCATAAGCGTTCCTTCATCAATGCAATATGCTACAGAAAAGAAGTATGGCAGGAAGAGTAAGACAGCAACTGATTTTCTACTTGCCTCTTTGGAAGTCACATTCTCTAGGTCTTTGCTCATCATGATGCTCCGGAGCTTGGCTTTAATGAGCCGTTCCGTTCGCTCCCTTTCAGTCGGCCTAAAAGGGAAAAGGAGGGCATGTTCCAGCCAGGGAGTAAATACTCTCCCCCCAAGATGTGTGAGTGGTGCAGCACAGCAGAGCGGTGGGAAACATTCAGCAAATTGACCAGAATAATAGGAAAAAAACAATGAAAAACAAACAAACAAACAAACAAGAAAACGTCAGGACGTTTCCAAAAGGAAAGGAAACGAGCCACTAGAAAAACAAAAGGGAGAAGGGGAGATGTTTCTTGTGAGCCAAGCTGGAGTTTTCTGATAAAACTGAGAACTGACTTGTCAACAAAGAGGGCTGGAGAGTCCGGGCGCGTGGACTCCAAGTCCTGCATGGCGTTCCACTCGTTGATGCAGCTCTGGTCAGAGCTGATGCAGCTCTCGTAGTACGTGGCCCAGACCAAGGCCATTCCTCCAGGGAAGTAGTTGTACCTGCGTGCGACTTCGCAGGCTTTGTGCAGGATCTGTAAGGCAGACCTGCGGGTTTGGAGAACAAAGTTGTGCAGGTGAGAGCAGCAGAAACACACAGAGCAGGATCTCAAGAGGCTTGCACAGAGGAAAATGTTTTCCAGCTTTGTTTGCTACAGGTTTTGAGCACAGATTTTTTTTCCATTTTTTTCTTGTATTTTGTAGGAAGAGCTGCAGGTTTATTGCACCTGAGCTCGCAGAGGGCACAAGCTGCATCTTGGAGGCCGCTCAAAAGCTCGGCCAAAGCAGCGGTTAGCATTTTATTCCAATCAAGGGGCATAATGAGGCACAAATCACTCTGGGATCTAATCGTTAGCTAACTTGCAAAGCCAGACTAAAGAAAAATAAAGCACATGGACCATTTTCAAATCACCTTCAGCAAGGATTCAAGTACATGTTTACCAGCATTCTTGGTCCCTGACATGCTCCAGGGACAGAGCCCAGATTGGGTCATTTGTTTTTGCAAATTCTAGCCTTAATTTTTCCTCCCCACCTTTTCTTTCCCTGCTACCTTCTCCTTTTCTTAAGGCTCCACTCTGAACTTGTTAAACTGACTACACAGCCACATCTAAAGCTACTAACGGGACCCTGAGCTCAAAAATGATGGGAACACATGTTCCATTTGCTTCTGTACCAAATCATCCCCAACGCGACGTCCTCCTCTTTATTCATGTTTATTCACCTCATTAGTGCTGTTTCCCATTGTCTTTATACCAAGGAGCACAGAGCTGCTCTGAAGAGAGGCACAAGAGCCGACTTTGGGATCGTACTGCCTTTTCAGTGCTGCTACCTGCTAACACATCCCTACTGCAGCTCACCGAGTACTAGTTCTGCAGAAAGCTAACATGCACTTTGCTGATTTAATTTACTGCAGAAATGGCAGCCCCTTCCTCAGCACAGCTCATTACTGTACATACCACATGGCTTGCACCGACACCGGCTTGAAGATGTGCATCCTGCCTGCGGTGCTCACGCTGAAGCCACTAAGAGAGAGAAGGAAATCAGTGACCAGCTGCTCCTCGGCCTCAGGAGCTGCCCTCCCTGAGCAGCCACGGCAAGGCAGCTCTGGGGAATGCAGAAACACCCACGCTCAGAGGCAGCAATGAGAATTTGCGGCACCTCATTATCCAAATCCACCCAAACAAGGATGCCAAGTGCCCAGCTTTCCCTGACGAATTATAATTCCACCTGTTAGGTGGCATTTAAGGAAGCTCTTACAGGTATTACAGGTCTCACTAACAGTATGAGGGCAGCAAGAGGAAAAAAAGCCCTCAGTGACTGCGTAAAAAGACTGCGGTGATGAGTTCAAGATTGGAACTTCATTTGCAAGGTGTAAGAGAATCTCTCCTAGAGCAGCCCTTGGTAAAAAGGGACATTCACGTTTATCTTTTAATGTGGTTTCTTACCCATCACCATCGAGGTGGATCTTGGTATCACTCCACAAGCGAAGGACCATGCCTATAGTGCAGCTCTTACTGGAAGAGAAATGCAGAATGTTAAGTATCGGCCACAGTATGGGCACACTGGCACGTTAAATTATGAATCTCCTTTCTTTTTTAAAATCTCAAGTCTTGCTCTAGGAACTGCTAGTAACATCTCAGGCCATTTAATGCATTTGCACCCAAGGGAATCAGCAAACTGAAGTTTAAAGGTTAACATTCACGGGCGCACGGCTCCGTGGGCAGGGGGAACGGGAGGACGGGAGCAGGAGGCACCGCCACCTCTCCCCTCCACGCCAGCACCTGCCCCACGATCGGTGGCATCTGCCCCCCAGCTTCACCGCTCGCATCCTCACAAGCTCCAGGCGAGAATTCCTGCGGCGGGGAATCCGGGATCGCACCGAGCCCGCCTCCCAAAGCCAGCCCAAAGGAAAACCTCGGTGGGCGGCAGAGCAGCCACCTGCCCTTCCCAAAGGGACCCAAGGGACCCTGCTGAGGGCCGTGCTCAGTGTTCACTTGGTCACTCGGGCTGCTAGGAAAACACTAAGAGGACTTGAAGCATTTACCAAGTCCAAGAGAACACTTGCACGTCAGAGAAGCCATCTGGCAAGAAACGTATACTCTAATGGGTACCCGTAACTTTCAACTAGTAAATAATTAAGCTGCCAAGATATTCAGCTTTTAGGGGAAATCACTCTGCACCAACAACAGCAAGTTAGCACAGAGCGTTATTTATTTATTTATTTATTTTCAAAAGCCTTCAGCCTCTTTCTACATCAAAGGAGCTGATGGGCCGGTTTGAACACACGTGTGGACAATGTGGAGCTTTGAAGGGAAAAGGTGGTTTTTATTAAACACATATAAAAGGAATAAAGCCCCCCAAAGTGCCCAGCTAGTCCGAGTGTCAGCAGGCAGGACACTCGGAGCCCAGCAGCGGCACGCTGGTCCCTCGATAAAGCCACTGCAGCCAAGAGGCTTCATTCTGCACGGAGCTCTTCCTTAATTAACAAAAACTTTGGCTTTCAGGGGAAATAGCAATTGAAACAGCAGCCAACCTTGGAGTTAGAATGGGTTTGTCATTTGGTAAGCAGCCAGCTCCTTAGGGAAAATTACTGTTATCTGGGGGAGAGAGGACAGAGGAAAGAGGGGCTGGGCTTGTTTTCTTTTTTTAGGAATCCACATCCACTTTGTTGTTTCCAAAACAAAACAGGGCAGCATTTCGGATCTGCAAAGATGTCTAGGGGTTTTTGCTTTCCTTCCACACTTTGAATGGGGAACGTTTCAAAATGCACACAAATTTATGGAGATTAATGGGGGTTTTTTTGCTTGTTCTACCTTCCCCATTCCAGGAACCACAAAGTTTTACAGGAAATGAGGGTCTCCAGTTAAAAAGCAACATGTGAGCGCACAGGAAGGGCAGCCTTGCCCTAGCCATACCTCTCCTTGCTGGAGAAATCCACTCCCAAGAGAATGTTCTCCTCGGTGTCCTGCCGCCCGCTGCTGTACACAACCACCATGTACCGCACTCTGTCCGTCCACACACTTTCCAAACGGACAGCCTGGAACAGGGCAACCAAGCTCTGCAAACCAGCTTTGGGATGAACCTTACCTCTGCCATCAACTAGCATGTTTTGAGATACCGACTGTGATTTTTTATTTATTACAAAATTCAACCCGAAGTTTTTTTTCCAAAGAAATTTAACTAGAAAATTTGCAGACACGCTGGGAAACTGAGGCAAGCCCAGAGGCTTCCTCCACCCCTACCCGTGTGCACTGAAACAGGGCAGTGGTGCTACAGGGTAGTTAGCAAGGACTTTTCCGCAAGGACTTTTCCTCTGCAGATTTCTGCACAAAAGGAAGCCTGGCCCCATTTGGATGAAATTTCAGGACTGATTTAAAATGAACTAACCCCAAAATATCGACTGCCAGCAGCTCTTCTGCATTAGTGCTTGTGAGCTGCCTGGAAAATTAAACTTACCAAAGAGTTTTGGCCACATCAGCTTCCTGACCTGCTCAACACGGCGGTGTGAGGCCGGGCCCATGGCAGTGGGGATCCCACCCGCACAGACTTCCTTGGGCTGAAGCCACCGGTGAGCCCCGGGCCTGTGAGCTGCTTTGGGGAGCTCCTACAGGTTCAAGCACCTCCAGGAGAAAGGAGGGCAGGACAACACATCGCTCCTTACCAGCTTGATTCTGTCCTCACAGCGAAGGAGGTTGATCATCACCTGGAGGTGCTGGGGCAAATCCCCTGCGGAGAAAGCAGAAAAATAATCAGAGGCTCACTTGCTGCCCTAAGACGGGCATTGCCTCGACCTTCAGTGGACCTGGATGTTTCCCTTGGTCAGAAAATGCCATTCACGGGAGGCCACATGAGCTCTACTGTCCCAGAGAATCCCAACAGAAGGAAGAATGAGAGCTGGCTGAGAGAACAGGGCTCTGCAGTGTTGGGCAGGTACCACAGATACTGTCACCACCCGTGGCTGGCACGAATGGTGATGCTCTTCCAGCTAGGGCATCTTGCAGAAGGCAGAAAATGATGTGCACTGAAGACACGGGACGAAAAGGCGGGAGGAAAATTCTGATTAAAAATCAAATCGACAATGAATAAAGGAAAAGTTTTAAAGTATGAAACATGTGCAGTGTGGTGGGTTAAGCCCCAGGGGCCTAACAGAGGGCAGAGCTGCACATGAGAGACCTCCGACTGAGGTGAGGAATCCTCCCCTCTCCAGCCAGGGCCCTGCACACGACAGGTCCCATAGGACCCACAGGGGTGGCCGCATTCCTGCTCAGGGGAGGCAAGCAAAGGAACAAAGAATCTACAAGAAAACAAAACAAGCTCACATCTAACGACCGAGCAACGCGCTCAGAACTTTCCATACGAGATAACATTCCTTCCGTAGGATGTTTTGGGGCTATATGAAATTGCTGACAATCAAAGGCGGCCGCAGCCAAGGCTGGCATTCAAACAGGCTCTTTGTGCTCGGAGTGTTTACGGAGCAGCACACACACAGTACCACACTGTGCCTTTCCCACGTGCTCCTTCGCCCCAAACGCCCCAAGGAGCCCATTTCTTTGCTACCCCAGGAGTCGCTTATTCTAAAATTGCCAACGACAGAAGGCACAAAAATACAGGAGAAGTAAAATCCACTTCCTTCAACCACTTTTCTGCTTATCCTAATGCACTCTCTCCGTGCAATTCTTTATCGTTCTTCCCACCAGCTTGGCACACTGGGAAGGAAAAACCAGCAACGGAGTAAGGTGCATTCTGAAGCCGTGACACATTCTTAGAGGCCAGATTTTGGTGAGTTCACGGGAAAAGGGGACTTCCTGAAAGCAGGACAGGGAATATCAGGAGCCAGCCACACTTCCAAGACAGCAGCAGACGTTTAAACAAAGATCCAATAATCACATGCTGCTGTGAGGATCGAGTGGGCTGAAGATGTGGGTTTGCTCAGCAGGTTGTACCCGGCCCATGGTGACAGGGAGCGGAGTCGCCCTCCCACCCATGGGTGCCCCTCAGCCGCCAGCGGGGCCGAGAGGAGTGGGCAGCGATTTTGGGGTGCGATTTTCGGCATTACCTGCATGTTTGTGAGGATGCTGGAGGCTTCGCTGGCCCTGCGAACTGTTGCCTTGCTGCAAGAAGAGGGCTGCTCCTTTCACCATGAAAAAGCTCTCGCTTAGGCTGGAAAACAAACGGCACGGGAAGTGAAACGAAAGGAAATGGCTGCAAAACGCCGCTTAAAAAGCACTCCAGAAAAGCAAGCTTTTGCCACAGGAAGCTCTTCCCAAAGGCCGACCCGGCCGTCGCGCCGGGCAGTTTTCCAGCGCTATTCCAGCGACTCATGCCGTCTTCCAGCGCTGCCGGGGCTGGCTGTTGCAGGAGGGATCTGCCCGAGTTGTCATGTGCTAGAACTAACTTTATCCTTCGATTATCAAGCTCTGCAACTCCAAACCAGTGGAGAGGAAGACATTTTAGAGGCTTAGAGCTGTGAAATGACTTGAGATCAAGTCGCGAGTCAATCCCTTCCTAGGGATTTCAGCTCCAGATTGCTCTGGAATGCAGGAACAGGCGGCTGCAAATCCCCGGAGGTCTAAGGGCGACGGGAGGCGAGGATGAATCCTGCCCATCACAAAGGAAGAAAACTGCTCCAAAAGTGGAAATGCCACCAAAACCACAGCAAGGACTTGGCTTTGCCCTGCTAGGTCCAACCGTCCCGGGAAACTCCGCTGCTAACAAGGCAGGTCCCAGTGTGCGCAAACACAAATTTCCACAAAATCCAACAAAACAGGCCCAAGAACATAACTAAAGAGAGGACTGAACTAAATCAGTAGCTGCAGTAAGAGCCAGGACAAATCTAATTACACAGGAGCGCAACGCGCTTGGGAGCAGTTTAGAAATAGGCTGGGGCCAAAGCGGTAAGTGAGGCTGCCCACAAGCCCGAAAATCCTCATTTAGGGACCCTTTTAGGTGCCCCGGCCGCTGCTGGAGCCGCGCTTCTGCCAGCACCCGGAGGAGCGGGCAGCGACGCGGCCCCGGCGCAAGCCTCAAGCCTCCACTCCCAAACACACATCGGCATTAATTACTGCCTCCAATTTACTAAATATAACTCGAGACGGGGCCGCACGGGGTTATTCGGGCTGCAGAAAAGGATCCGCCGGAGCTGCCGCTGCTCCTGACGCTTCCCCGGCTTTCTCCGGAGCCTTTGCCCACGCGTGGGAGGCGGCACTGGCGCCCCGTTTATTATTATGGCATCCAGCTTCTGCCTTCGGTGGACACAGCCAAAGTCCTCCAAGCTACGAAGGCCTGCAGACAAACTTCCCTAATTTCTCAGTCTTCAAGGTGCAAAATTCCCAAGTTTAAATTTGAGTTTTCATTAAAAAAAAAAAAAAAAAAAAAAAAGAAAGAAAAAAAAAAAAAAAAGAACCAAAATGTCCCCGCAGGCTCCAGGCTTCCCAAGTCCTATCCGGGATCACGAGAGGGCTCCGGGCTCCCCAGGACGAGGCTCTGTGCATCCGAAGAGGCTCCCGCGTGAGCTCCGGACCCGCTGCCGATGGGAACGGAGCGCATTCCGCCCCGCTCCCGGGAGGATCCCTGTTTTCCTCTCCCGGCAGATCTTTGCTGCTAACAGGAAAGCGTTTTAAAAGGCCAGAAGTCGCATAAAAGCAGTGACATCAGTACAATGTAAGGGCACATCCACACGCTTGGATCCCAGCCCCAAAAGCTCTTTTTCCAACAAGAGGGAAGGAATGGTAAGATAAGGCAGCAGCAAAGAACTCGCAGTATCCCTGTCTCAGGAATTCAGGGAAAGTGATAAGATCTCCCAGAAGATTTCTGTAATCTCTATTCAAATACTGGAGATGGAGATTTTTAGCGAAGCAGCGAACACGGAGGAGAGACGAGTCCCTCCGAGGCAGCAGGGACTGATGCCCTGGGCACACCTGGCTCCCCTCCTGTGCTTGGGAATCTTCCTCAGAGCATCGTTGACCACAGGAGACTGTTCCCCACGGAGCAGAGGGAGAAAGAGGCACCGAGGACGGACAGGACAAGCCCCAGCAGAACTTGTGTTAACACATGTTCATTTGCGTGGAAACGACCCAAAAACCAAGCCCATGGGGACAGCAGGAGGATTTTCCTTCCTGATCCCAAACCCAAATGGCAAAGCGCTTCCCATGCCCAATCCCAACCGTGGAACCAGCCCTGGTGCAGCATTCCCATGTCCTGGCAACCCACCTCGCCAGCCACCCCACATCACTGAGCACCCCGCTCCCTTGGTCCCCTAAATCTCCCCAGAGAAACAGCAGGAAAAAGGACAATTGTTGACGATCATCCCCAAGCTCCAAGCCTCCAAAGCAGTGATAAATACCCCAGGAAGCAGCATAAAAACCAGTGGCGCATACGTACTGATTCGCTCTGGTTTTCTTCGAACAGCAGAAGCATTGTGCTGGCCCCAGCGTCAGACAGAAGTCAGCAAATTTGAGAAGATTCATAACTCACATCCTTTTGCTTCTAAGCCCATCAAAACACAAAGAAAGGGAGGAAAAGAAAGGGCTGAGCGTATATTCCGCGAGGAGCAGAGGAACCGCGGCTGCTGATGCTCCCCAGGAACTGGATGACTTCTACAGAACACTGTGTCTTCCCCCGCTATCCTGGCTTGAAAAAGCACTTGTCCCAACACATCCTGATGAAAGAGGGCCATTCAAAGAGGAGGAACACAGCGGAGGCTCCGCTGATCGCTGCCCTCCTGCGGCCGCGGGGCTGGCTGCTGCGTCCCGCGGAGGCGCCCGGCAGCCCTGCTCGGGACCACGTTGACTCCTCGTGCCGCCCGCTGCCCCTTCGGCGCTGGTCCCAGATTCGGTGCTGCCGAGAAGGGAACACTGCATTAATGCACTTTAGAACCCCCTAGCTCGGGTGGATTCTCTGATTAGTCTCTTATGGGTCTAAGAAATCAAAAATCCAGCTAAAACAGGAAGAGGGCAGAAGGGAGAGTCGCCAGTGTGACTGCCCGGGCGTCCATCCCTGCATCCAGCCACTCATTCAATGCAGGCAACGCCCAAGGGGCCTGTGTTTGACCCAAAAACCTGCAAAGACCTGGGCAGCATCTCCTGAGCTGTAACGAACTGTTGTTTTTCTAGCTGTTGTCGAGCTCTGAGAGAAGCCCCTGCAACGTGGCCGGTGTTCAGATCTACCCACTTAGCTCCGTCCTTAAAAACGATGCGAGTTACTGCTGAGATCCCCTGCTTCCACATTCGCCTCGAGCTCTCCCTCCCTGGCTGACCCCTCGGGTGCTGCCACCGCTCGGGTGCTGCCATCCAGCCTTGCCCTGGCACGGAGCCTGCCCTGCTCTTCGGCCCCGCTCGGTCTCTGTCAAATTAAGTTTCTTAATTTCCCATTCATTAAGGGAACAAAATATACGTGTGGTGAGGAGACAGGGAAGGCCACCATCCATCAGATCCACGCTGGAGCTCTCCAGAGAGGCAGCAAGAGCAGCTCCCTGAAAGGTGCCACTATAAGAGGAGCATTATCGACACAAGGGTCCGTGAGGCTGATCCCATGTTCCCGACCCACACAGGGCCCATTCCTTGTGCCCCGCGAAGCTGCCCTGCTGCAGCCAGCTCCGGAATTCAGGGAAATGAAGGATTAAAAAGAAAAACAAAGAGCCAATCCCAAACACCTCCACACTTCTCTCCAATCCGGTCCCACAACTCCAACGGCAAAACCGTCCCATTCACTATCACTTCCTCCACACGGCATCTTCTGCTCCAAGCCTTCCCCAACTGATAAGCTCAGGAAAAAACACGTCTTCCAAGCTCCACAAAACTGAAAAACCACTTCCTTTTCCACAGCCCCTTTGATAAGGGGATGAGAACCGATTTGTTTTCCCTCAGCCTGGAAACAGCCCGGGACGGGGTGGCTCTGGCGACGCTCCCACCGCTGGGCCAAGCCACGGGCTGCCAAAAAGCGGCTTTTTTGGAGCAGGGAACATTGCGGGATGGGGCGCCGGGAGCCCCTGCTCAACACGGATAAGGATTCAAATCCATGTGTGGTGGGAGCCTCGCGGAAGCGCTGGGACTGCCTGGAGGGACCCAATACACCTATATGGACGCGAGCACCGCTGGCACCGCTGCCCTCTGCCAACATCCCCACCATGGCTCGTGGCGAGGCAGCTGCACGCAGGCAACGCCTGGAAACGGTTGTTTCCTGAAATGCCCTTTTATTGCAGGAACGGGAGGCAGGGGAGCTCCCTCCACACCCGTGGCCACACTCGGGAGCGGCCGTCCTTGCACTCGGACTGCCCGAGCTGGAGCAAATTCCCTCCAAGAGGAGCCCAAAAGGGAGAACGCCGGCCAGGAGAGGCTGCCGGCTGCCGTGGCACGTGGGAAGCGCCTCCTGTTTGCAGAGGGCGGCGGATGCTCCGGACACACGCACCCGACACAGGCAAACGGCACTGCTGTTTGCAGGCGCGCTAGAGGAGGGAAGTTTGGGCGGAAAAAGAGGAAAAAAAGAGAAAAAGTTACTGACAGTGCAGCCGGCCACGGCTGCGGGCTCTGCGCCTCGTCCCTACGGAGGCGCAAGGGGCTGGGAGGGAGCGACCCTTTTCTTTCCCGTTGTTGCCATGTAGGCAAGTGCCGGGCACCTGCCAGAGAGGTGCTGGGTGCCCACAGGCAGGGAGGGAGGACGGAGCCCAAGGCCAGGAACGCGGGGAGGCGCCTCCGGGCTGCGGTCCCTGCTGCGCCGCGGGCAGAAAGCTGCTCCCCAGCAAGGAGCCTTCGTCCCCAGCGAGCCGGCACATCCTCCTGCTCCGCCCCAGGCGCTCTCTGCTTTAACCCTGTCTCCTATTTTATATCTTCAGCCACTCGTTGGTATCTCCCGGAGTGGTGTGTGGAGGCTCCCTGATGGAGAGGGAGGCAACACTGCAGGGAAGGAAGAGCAGGTAAATCCTGGCTTTGAGGATGAGGAGGGAGCGAGGAAGGCGGCCGGGAGCGCTGCCGAGCTCCGCAGCCCGCCCAGGCTGCAGAACGACTCCAAAAAAGGCAGCAGAGCCCGGGGAGCGCCTGGCACACGGGCAACGCGTAAAAATAAAATAAAATAAAATAAACCTAGGCAGATCACGGCGGGGAAAAGCAGGGCAAGGAGAGCTCCAGCCCGGGCCAGGCTCCCCCTCTAGCGCCAACAGTGCAGGGCAGGCTGCCCAGCTCCCTGCAGGGGTGAGCGGCACCCCAAAAATCACTGCAAAGTTCAGGAGCCAGGGGCTAGGCTGGCTCTGCATGGAAAGGGCTGGCAGAAACCTTAGGACAATCCTTCCTGTCCACCTCCCATCCATGAATCCGCTCCCTTTTAAAGGGAGTCTGAACACTGCAGAGAGAATAGGCCCCTCAGAGCAAAGAGCAATCGAGGGCTTAAGGAGAAGGGTGCACAGGGAGGCGCAACGGTGCCAACGGGAGCACCTCAACCCCCCGTGCGCTTTGCTGAAGGTGTCCAAGGTCTACAAAAACAGAGACTTGGGGGCCTGCAGCAAACGCGTCCGCACTGCAAGGGCTCTGGGGAGAGTCGGGTGCAAGGGGCAAGCTCCTCCTAAAGCCGTGACCTGCTCCCTGCAGCTCCAATAGCTCCCTGCAGCTCCCTGCAGCCAGGAGGAGCCGCAGGATGCAGGAACATGCAGCCCCCGAGCTGCTCTTCGGGCAGCCGCCTGTACAGGGCGGCCACTCCACCGCCTCGCAGCCTGGCCGGGCTGCAGCTGCTCCTCTGCTCTCACCTTAAGCTGCTGAATGTCAATTTTCATCCATTCGGGCTGCACCAGCTCAGCACCGTTGGCTTCTGCTCGGCCTGCGTCTCTGCAACCACCAGAGAGGGCAGAGCAAGCTCTGCAGAGAAAAATCTCCTCTTCCTATTTAAGCCTAAGTAAATAATGGATGCAGACTGCATCCTAATCCCTCGGAGGCTGAGGTAATTTTTGGCCGCTTTTGCTTTCTGATCCTGTGTGCAGAGCATTTCGCCATCAGGGCTTCACACGCTGCAGGTGGATGCTTAAAACTGAGAAAGAAAAAAACTCAGCGCTCATTAAAACTCATCAAAAAAAAGAAAAAAACTCATTAAAAGTAAGGGCATGCCTAGGAAAGCAGCCTCCTCTGTTTCCCATTTCCCCAAAACATCTGAAAGACACTTGTCGGGCCCAGATTCGTATGAGAAATCCCTGACTCACAGATCCTGGCAACTGATTATCAAAGATTGAGGTATTTAAAATCAAGAGGTATTTGAAAGCAAAATATTTTTCTGACCCTGCTCTTTAGTGCCTAAATAAACAGCAACTGCACTGCCTTTTACAGAAAAAAAAAGTGTCAGCACAAAGCCAGTACCTTTGATAGCAGGGCCAGGGGGTACTTTGGCCAAATAGCTGAGGTTTAGGGGGAAAAAAAATAATTAAAAAAATATTTTCAAGGATTTATTTACAATTCCTACGGGTCTGATCACATCTCCAGCCTGGCAGGCCTCCTGCTCTTACTTTACATGCAAGTAAATGCACCACGTTGCTCAAGCTCAGGCCGGCACCAGCTTCCCGGGAAGGCCCTAACCGAGCAGGGAACAAGCGGGTGTTTCCTCAGCTCCTCGTTCCTCGAATGCCCCTGCAGGACCCACTGCAAATAAATAATTTAAGGAGGCAAAATATAACATGCAATGAAGCACAAGTATCCCCAGGTGTGTGGGGAGCGCCGTGCAGCCCAGCAGATGAACCGAGTCCTTTCTCACAAACCTGAAGGCTCCACCTAATTCCTGCAGCCACGGCAAGAACAAAAAGCAATGCTCCTTCAAAGGACAATTACCTTATTTTGTTCAACTACAACCAAAACAGCAGCAGCAAGGGAACCGTGCAGCTGGTGAGCAGGCTGGTGGACACGTTCCTTGCTGACCTGGTCAGGTCCTTCTGCACCTGGACCTGCTGTGAGCTACTGAGGCCCGTGAGCGATGGGGAAAGAAAGGGGGACATGGAACCCTCTCCTCATCACATTTCAAAACACGAGCAGGTTCCACAGAGCTCGGGAGCCAAAATTCCCACAACTGGAAGGGTTGGACCTCCCGCAGCTGCTCTTGCAGCCCTCCGAATGGGATTCAGCACTGCCAAACAAGAGCCCCTCTTGCCAACAAGATCCTCAGGATTGATCAGAGCTTCGAGGCAACTGGTTTCCAGGCCCCTTTGCAGCACTTTAAGCCCCAGGTCCCCGCAAGGAAGCGAGTCCCAAAAGGTGCAGCCACCTCCGACCCATCACACTGCGACCACAAAGTCAATATTGGCAAAGCTCACGGAATGACCGGGCAAACAAACCCACTTATGTCCGAAATCCAACACGGGGATTATCCGGCTCCATTCGCCACCTGCATCCGAGGAACAGCCACTGATGACACGACCAGCTGTTTGTGAAACACTCCTGACTTGGAGCTAGGGGCCCTGACAACACTGGATGACAAAACCAAACAAGCCCAACATAATTAGATGAATTATCTATCTCTCTGAGTTCATTTTATGCCTTTCCAGGTGACGAGCTTTCCCAGTCTCTGCATTACCATGCATATTGCTGGAGAACCTGTTCCAGCTTTGGAGTCACAAGCTAACACACCCCCATGGACCTGA